TATTGGTGAGCATTAGTAATGATCACCACCTAGAGCTTTTACTGTAAATGAAAGCAGAAGGGGATAAAAATGTTTTACTTTATAAACACTTATATGGTACTTGTTACATGCCGGATATTATTTTAATGGCTTTCAAATAGGAGCTCATTTAACCCTCAAAACAGCCCTATTAAGTAGATCATTTTTACCCCCATTTGACAGAAGGGGAAATCGAGGTTACATGACTTACTCTAGGTCATATAGCTAGCATGAGGCAAGGTTAAATTCCAGACAGTCTGGGTCCAGAGTATAAGCACTGGCCCTCTATAGAATATTCAGCTATTCTCCTGTCCATTCTGCGTTTTCTCAACTTAGTTTGGGTAGGGGGTAGGAGAAGGGGAGGAGGGGGAGGAGGAAGGTTATAAGTGCAAGTGTGGGACTTGGTGCGTGCAGAGGAACCAAGCAGTAACGTTTGGGTATATCGCTCCTAGAGCTGGGGCAGGGCTCTGAGGGAAACAGACAGTGACACTTGGGAAATGGGTTTGGGAGCAGGAAATGGTTTGGACTGATACTGCTCTAATGAGACCAACCCTGGAGGCCAAGTTGGGGAGCAGCCTCTGGCCCCTTTCTTCTTTGCGCCCATTCCTCCATCTGAGCTCCCCATTCAGCATCTGCAGATTGCACCTTAGACCTAGGCCCAGGTTATCTCAGAAACAAAAATTGGAGATAGGGAGAAAAATCATTCCCCTAGAGAGTAGTGGGTAAGCTATTTTCACAGAAGGGGTCCAACATTAAGTCAGACTGGACCTATTTCTAAGGCATTTCTGAGAGTTTACATATAATTCCACTCCTGTCAAATAAACTACATTTAAAAAATCTTCAAAGAAGGGGCGCTTGATAAAAGAATCCTTCAGGAAACTAGTACCGATTACAAACCACCACTTCCTAATATGTCAGATTTCCAAGTCTTCACTTTTATGTTAGTTGCTGTTAAAATGGAATGCACCTGCAGTTCAGCTAACGTCCATTCATTTCCGAGCTGTGACTTGGGCATCAGTGAACACTTCTGGGTATCGGAAATCTTGGTTCTCACAGACAACACCACTCTAATGACAATGCCTGAAGAAAGAAGAAAAGGACAAATGATTCTGCTTTAAAATGGAATCCTTGCAATGAAACAAACAAAAAGAAGCCCTTTGTGTGACATTGAAGCTTTTTGATTCCTATCTCTCTCACCTGTTAAATCCTGCAGTTTGGTTACCACATATGGACTCTGTCTGCAAAACACTCTTAAAATGCTGTATTGGCACCTTGCTGCAATCTGCCAGCACATTCCTTAGGGCTCGTCAGTCCGTATGGCACCACTCTATTTTCCTTAACTCTATTTTGATTAGGAGCTAGCTGTTGCAAATTGTTGCCAGGGGTTTCTCTTCTCTGCAGTGCTGCAAAATCAGTGATGGCAACAGAGATCCCTGGATGTTGCTGGTGGTTACCAGTATTTAGGCAGCATCAGATTATTTTCTATTATTTACAAGGAGCTCTTGCTACAGGGTCAGAAGACTTGATTCTAGGTTCAGTGCAGCCTCTAAAGCACTGTGTCATCTCGGACTAGGCACTTCATCTCTCTGGGTCTTGGTTTCTTCCTCTGTAAAATGAAAATTTAAACCGAAGATTAAGTGTGTAAGCCAGAGGTCTGACATTTTATAACTACCAATTTTTTACAATGATTAAAATAATCCAAAAGTTTTTTTAAAATCTGTCAGCTCTACCTTTTAAATGTGCCTAGAACCTGACCACTTCTTTTTTTTCTTTTTAAGATTTTATTTTTATTTTTCGACAGAGAGAGAGAGATAGCGATAGAGGGAATGCAAGCAGGGGGAATGGGAGAAGCAGGCTTCCCGCGGAGCAGGGAGCCCGATGTGGGACTCGATGCCAGGACCCTGGGATCATGACCTGAGCCGAAGGCAGACGCTTAACGACTGAGCCACCCAGGCACCCTAAAATAATCCAGAAGTTTATAATGCTATACAATTAAGGACAAAGAAGAAAAGATAAATGTCATTTTAATTAAATCTGCAGATGGAAATAAATGGGGAAGTTCTACCAGTAATTGTGTGACTGTGTCTTAATGGAGTCCAAAAGAGTTTCCTCTTTGGGAAGTGTGAGCTAATATACCCTCAGAGGAGTGATTAGGAACAGAGATATTTATACTAGATGGGAAATGCTGGGAAACAGAGGTTTTATATCAATACCCAGAGGCAAGATGTGGGCAGCTGATGATGTGCAAAAGAACATATAGATCTGAAGTATTTCCTGTTAATGATGATGATGGATTTATCATGTTAGAAGTCTAGGATAGCAATCTATGAAATAAATATATATATATGTATGTATATATATACACATATATATATTCCTGTTAATGATGATAATGGATTTATCACGTTAGAAGTCTAGTATAGCAATCTATGAAATATATATATATTATATGTTTTAAATATATATTTATATATATATTTACCAGTCTGTTACCACTCCAGTCTGTGAATGGCTCATTAGTCTAGGACCATGGTGTGTCCGTACATTAGGTTAGTCCCCATAAACACAGGTTATATAAGACCCATGGGGGAGGGAGGAATCCTTTCGTGTGTTTAAGAACGCCTTTCCACTTCGCCCCGCCCCTAACCCACACCCAGTCAACTGCAGGGAGGGAGCTGTAACCTCAGCCACATCTCTGACTCCTGTCGGTGGCAGGCGGTTTAGACGGATCCAGTGCGTGCCTGAGTCCCTTGTTATTTAACTAAATACACCCCAATGTATTTAGAAGACCTTCTAGCTGAAGGGGAGTTAACTTGCACCACCAGCAGTACTTGAGTAGAAAGCTAAAATAGCCTAGTGTTATTCCACAGTCTCTTGATTTTTTTTGCCGAAGGAATCCTAGTCCAGCAAACTGCTCTTTGCCTTGCGTCAACCTTCCGGGTTTACTCAGCCGCCCAAGCTCTGGGCAAATGGATGGAAATTTCAGAGTGGAGAGGGGGGAAATGCCCTAGGCTAAAACCTGGATCCTGTGTCTCTCGGTCACAGACAATGGCCTCTTCCCCCTCCCCCCGGGTGCTCTGGAGAGAGAGTGATCGAAAGTCGAGGCCAGCGGTTGGTAATCTAGGGGTTTCTAAACAAAGTCAGACCCCTTCTCTCCTTCCTGCCCAAGGCAGGAACTGAGCAGATGTTTCCTGGGACCCCAGCCTGAGGATTCCTGCCGCTTTGTAGCAATTTAGCCTTGACCATTTCTAACAGGGGTTGCCTAGCATATTATGACCCCAGCAAAAGGGGACGCCCCCACACAACTAACCTTCGCTTCGACTTCTGACCGTGCTGCGGCGCGCACTTTTTGTCCTTAGTCCTTGAACCTGCTTAGCAGTCATTCTTTCTGGATAGGCCCAGTGGAGACTTTGAAGGGGGAGCTTTAGATACGTGCTTCTGCAACTTGAGCGAGAATGCATTCTATTTGCCTGGAGGGCTTGTTAAAACAGATTATTGGCCCTCGTCCCAAGTGTTCCTCGTTACCTAGCTTTGAGGTAGAGCTCGATATTTTGCATTTCTAACAAGTTCTTAGGAGATGCTGCCAGTCCGGGACCGCCTTGAGAACCTCTGCCTTAGATAAAAGGCGCCTCGGCGTGAGCTCCCCCTTTTCCTTCCATCCCTCCGCGCTACATTCGCAGTTATGCCATTTCCCCTTCTCCGGGCAGTTTCCGGCTTTTGGACTAAGTATTCTAAAGGTTCCACTTCTGTCCCTGGTTCTGAGCGAATGGAGGGTTCTTAGAGAAGATTCCTGCAGCCCCCCCCCCCCCCCCGCCCCGTGCTGCTTCGTTCCCACCACCTTTACTGTTTTTCCACCACAAATGCTGCCCACTGCACTCCTCTCTCTGGTGTGAATTATTCACCCTCCTCCTCTACTCCTTGCATTAAGTGCAACCTTTCCCGCAACTTAACCTGGGTAGCGGGGCTCGCCGCTCGTCTCCCGTGCTCCGCGGCCCTGGGGAGGCTCCCCCGCGCGCCAGCTCCAGCCGGAGGCGCAGGGGCCATTCCCGCGCTCTCCGCGCGCAGACCCTAACTGGCCCCGGCTCCTGGGCGTGGGGCAGGGCGGGTGCTGACGGCTCTTCTGTTGAGCTTCGGGCGCCAAAGCCCGGAGGGGGGCGGTAGCAGCGTCAGGTGGCTGCTCTGCGTCCCCGCGCGCCTCCCAGTCAGTCCCTGCTCGGCGCTCAGCCTCAGCTGGAGCGGGAGCTGCTCGACACCTTCGCCCTGACAGCCGCGTCTTTGGGAGCAGCCGGGGCTCGGGACCCCGGCGGGAGAAGCTGAGATGTAAGCCCTCCGACTGTCCATTGCTGTCTCTGGCATCCTGCTCGCTTCTCACTTCCTCTCCCGCTCCGTGGCCCCATTGGACAGCGAACGTTTGTCTGGATCTCCGGGGAGAGAGGAGCGGCCACCGTGCGCACCGCCCGGCAGAAGTTGGGCTCAGCTGGGCAGCCGCGATCCAGCTGCGCGGGAGGGGTGGGCCAGGGAAGGAGGAGAGGAAGGCTCAGTAAAGAGGTCCGCATCTGGACTGAGAGGGACTGGGAGCGAGGGCTTGAGTTGACACTTCCCGCTCCCCGGCCCCGGGGCGCGGGGCAGCGGGAGAAATGCTGAGTCCGCGCCCAGGCGACCGCCGCCGCGGCAGCAGCCTCAGCAGCAGCTTCAGCATCAGCACCGGCGGGACAGCGACAGCGGGGGCGGCGCAGGCGCACTGTGCCCCGCGGAGCCTGCAGTTCCCGAGCCCCGTGTGCGGCACCGCCACAGACTGGGCAGCGGCGGCCGGGGGAGCGCTACTACCATGAACTGCCTGGTCTTCCTCCCCAGAGCTGCTCATCCGGGTCCGGCTGGAGACACAGTCAGGGGACCCCGTCGCCGCCGCCGCGCCCCCACTTCTTTCGGCTCGATCTTCTTCACCTTTTCCTCCTCTTCCTCCACCTTCTCTTCCTGCATCCCCCCCTCCCCCGCCGCGGATCCTGGCCGCCGCTCTTCAGACCCAGGATGCCGGGGGGCAAGAGAGGGCTGGTGGCACCGCAGAACACATTTTTGGAGAACATCGTCAGGCGCTCCAGCGGTAAGAAGAGTTGCAGTTCAGAACACCCCCACCTCCATCCTGCCCACGCGCGCCCCCCATCCTCCCCATCCCATCCCTCTCCTAAGGGGGAGGGGGATACAGACAGCTCTACCTGGTGGCTTCAGTTACTAGTTGGACCTGATTTGGGGTGGGGAGCAGAATAAGGTCGTGGAGGAAAGTTAATTGCATCCCCTCTCCAAGACATACTCACCTACCACCCACCTGTCCAGAGCCCAGAAGGGGAGGAAGGGAAGAGAGAGCTGGTAGGGTGTAGGTTCAACTGGAGAATAAAGTTGAGTTTTGCTTTGATGAGGGATATATTTCTTGCTCATCCTCTCCCCACATTTTTTCCCCAAGCTGACTTCAGGGACTGATCAAATTCTTAGAGTTAATCTTAGTGGAAGCGTTTCCCTCAAGTTGGGAATGGCTGTGAAAGTGGCTACTTAATAAGATTTAAGTCTCTGGAATGGCTTTTGGGCCCAATGAGCACTGCTGAAAGGAACCTTGTGCAGGGGAGAATAGTTGGAGTTGAACCTAATAGAGTACTTGAAAAATGGGAAGGCAATTACTATGGTTAAGTTCGTGTTTAAAGTTTCTTTATTTAATTTATTTTAGTGTGCATTGGTCTATATTAATCTATATGATATATTTGATTTGACTTAAACAGGAGAAATGTAAAAGGGAAGCAATAGCTACCATGCTTTTAAAGTAACTAGAGAAAGAATTTTTAGAAATGCCATTCTACTTTGCTACTGATTGTAAGGTTTTCTTGCCTTAAAGTGTCTTTAAAATGCCATGCATTTATAAATTCATTTCCTCCAAGATATTCTGAATCACGATCATTATATAGTTCACATTTTAAGACCTTCTAAACTTTGCATGTTACTGAAATCTCCATCTTTCATGTCTTTTTAATTCTTTTATATAATTTCCAATTTTAAAGCAAGATATGTGAAGTATCCTTTAAAGTTTTTTCCTTTAGAGGCCTGTTATTTTATTTTGAGATCTCTTATTTGGAGACTTATGAGAAAGATATTTCTGCATATTGATTACAGTAGAGCAATGGAAATACTCTATGCAGTTCCATAATTCATTGTTTACTCATTCATTGAAACAATATTTATTTGGGTGCCATATACAACAGACACTCTCTGGGGTCCTTTGGATAAAAGAAATGGTGAAAACACTTCTGTTCTCAAGAAGCTCTCTGCCTAGTGGGTAAGAGAGGGTCACACTAAAAAAAATAATTATGCTTTCCCTGAATTGGTTGACTAGATTATACTAATTCTTAGATTAGGATCTTTTCTAAAACTAGGCTTGCAGATATTTCCCCTGATTTTGGGACTATCTACATTTAAGTGTCCCAAGGCATTTTTCATAAATCTCTGCCGTGATATTTGGTTTTAATTCGAAGCTTGTGACTTTATTTCTTCCACTTTGGTCAACACCTGATATTTTACAAGTCTAGAGCAGACTTTTTGGTTGAAAAAGTAGCTAATAGTCTCAGTCTAATTAAAAAAATCTATAGTATTTTTAACCATTCCAGTGTGATTTCAAATGTATTTTTGATTTTTTATGATAATACAAAATACAAATTCATAATGGTAGGCAATTTCTGTGTTTATACATTACCCTTATGTATATTAAGCGAAGACTTAGAGTACAACGGGATGTTACTATTAAAACAACCCATTTGGGAAATTTAAAGGTTATTGGGATCAACTATCTAAGATACATACGTTTTATTTGAGCTTTCTTATCCTCTTGGGTTATTTCAACTCCACGCAATTTGGTCTGTGAGAGGACTTTTCAGAGAAGGCCTTAAAAAAATAAAACCCACAGACTCATGATAACCAGAAAGAAGATGAGAATTCCTTGACTGAAGTTGACTAATATAGCATCTGTGGTTGAAACTTCTTCTACAGATTGGAACTATGAGCCAGTTTTTGGAATATCTCTTATTGCAGATATACAAGAAATTAAGACTTTACCTTAATGTGGCTTAGAAATATCTGCTTCTGCTGCTTCTATTTTACAATTACCCTCCAAATTAATGCATGTTTTATCTTTTTGACACCTCCCCTATATAATTGCTGCATTGGTTTAATGCTTCTTTCCATAAATAACAACACCAAGTGCAAATGAAAATTGATCTGTTTTGGCATTTAAAATATCACTTCTCATTGCTTATGGCTAACTTTTAATACCACTACTCAATACCTCTGATCTTTGTTTGAAATGTGTTGGACATGTAAGCTATGTATATGTGCATGTGTAGGTAGTAAAAACTAGAAAGTCTCAGTACTACTTTTACAGGAAGAACCCCAGAAATTGAGAATTACAGTGTTAAATTGGTCTGCACATTCATGTGGGAGTATCCCACAGTTGTTGCCATTTCTATATGATTTGGCAGAGAAATAGAAAGATTCATTCTGAGAAATTGTTTAATTGAGACTCACAGAGAAAATTGCCTTCAGGATTCTCACAGATGGATGAGGTTTGTCACATTGAAGATTTCATTATTCACTAACTTAACCACATTGAAAGTGAAGTGTTGGCAGAGCTGTAGTGGAAAGGAAAGAAATTGAAGAAAGATAGGCTGGGGTTGCCTATTTACTTTTACCCCATGAAATGCTTCTCTTTCTGATACAACATCATTTTCTTCATATGAAAAGATCAGATCTTTTAGTGAGTGTCGGATGATACAGAAATTGTACAGAGAGATGTACAGAGATAAACAGAAAACCATTCACCCAGATACAAAGACAGAGATACCGGAAAAAGCTCTCTCTCTCTCTCTCTCTTTCTCTCTCTCTCTCTCACACACACAAAGAGCAAAAGAGAGATGTGGAAAGTAACGGAAATATAGAAACAGAGATACAGAAGTGGGAGGGGGATATCAGATTCAGAAAAGTATTAGACACAAAGAAAAAACATCAGGCACTTATTTGTCCATGGATATCACTAATGAACTGAAATCTCAGCCAATTAGACATCCATCAGAGAACTTCTTGATGACGTGGAACAAAAGAGCATGAAGTGTGGTCTATTTGGATGTAGCTTTTAAAATGGAGCACTTCCTGATAAAGTTCCTAACTCTTCAGTTGCAATTTCCCAGACGAACAGTGCTGTATTCTGTGCCCCACAGTAGTACTAGCTCCTGTTTGCAGTTTCTTTACACCTCTTGAGATTGGATTTTTATTTTCCTTATTTGGTTGACTCAGTCTGTTATGGGGAAGCATTTCAAATTGTTACTAGTGATTCAAAGTCTGTAAAATAAAATAATGAGGGCTATTGAGTAGGATGAATACAAACATACTTTATGGCCAAATCCCAAAATAGTACAAGTAGGGAATTCCTCTTTTTAGTGTTAAAAGACAAGATCAGTTTTAGATAAATGAAAGGAATTACAATAATTCTTAACATGTGATTCTCGTGGATATCATCTAAGAAGTTGTAAAGGTCAAAAGTATAAGTGTAATAGCAAGGTTAAATACATTTTTGGCCAGGAGGTTCAAAATGAGTTGCTAGGAACAGAAAGTTTGGGAACTAGTTCATCACATCTGTGAAAGGTCTCATAGAAGGCCTCAGCCTGAAGTGCTTATTGACTGAACCGGCATCTGGCACATTATTAGGCTATCTTCCCTTATTTAAATTTCAATTATTTATGAAAGCTATTCATCAGTGTACATTGGGCTATAGGGAGCAGTAAACCTGTGGGTAGAGGGTAAATACCTGAAAGAAATCAAGAATATTTAAGAGTTATAGGTGAAATTTTAGACTCGAACAAAACAAAACACAACATTTCCAAGGCCTTCAACCTATGTCCTTGGGCAGCACGTTTTATTTGTATGTTGTCTTTGATTCCTTAACAAATAGGCAGAAATGATTAGTGTCCATGACAGTGAACTAGGTTGCTATTTTGAAATATGACACATACCAAATTTAATATCTTTTTATTAGAATTTGATTATTGTTCTTTAATATTCTAAACATTATGAAAAACTAGAAGTGTTTTTCTCTTTAGAGGAAAAAAAGGGGCTCAGGAAAGACGAAAACAGAAAAGGTAGTATTTTATCAACCACTTATCCTGCAAGAGAAGTTCAATATATTCGATTTTCCATTATGGCTTGAGATATTTATGTTCTACAAGCACTTTCTTGACTCAGTCACCTTTTACAGAAAATCCACAATTATTTTTTTGCTATAATTAACATTTGTAAAAACTGAGATCTTAAAAGGGAACCTATAGGACAAGAAATAGAGAACTAATGTTTTAAAAATAAAACCAAAAAAAGGTATCATACCTTTTTAGTAGTATCCAAGGTAAAAAATGGTGAAAACATGATTTTTTTGATATAATGTTCATGATATTTTTTTCTTGAAAGATTTTCTTAAACATCTAAACCACTCTTCAGGAAATAGTGACAGAACTGCATAGTGTCTGAAGCATTGCTTAACCCAGGTCTTACCATGTATCACTTTTACTTTTAATACATCGTAGAGGTTGAAATTATACTGACCACTCCCTGAATTGTATTTATAAATCAGCAGATTATCTCTGGCTCTAGAGCCTGCTTTACTGACCAGAACGCTGCTTATCCCAGTTCACTCTTGTCTTCACCAGAGATTGCCCTCTTTGTCTATCTTTTGCTTGATTCCAGGAGCAGGGGTGTTAAGAACTCCATGTCCCCAGCCATCCTTTGCCCTACTGAAAGAACCATGTAAGACACTATAGTTTTTAATAGAAGAAAGCAACTATGAATATTTTCATTGACAACGACTGAGTAGACTTCCAACAAGAAATCCTTTAGTTTAGTTAGTATTTGTCTTTTACTTCCATTGTTGGTGACGGCTGTTTGCTAGCACGGAGGAACAATGCTTCTATGTTCTCCAGTGTCTGGCCTAGGAAAATGTCTTGTTCTCCAAAGCTCTGTAGATAGTGTTTACCACAAGAGGTCACTATAGGTTCTGGCACAGGTGAACCAAGTAGTGCCTCT